TTAGCCCATCTAAGCCGATTTTTATTTTGCATTGGAGTTAATAGTGGCTTTTCTTTGGCCTATAAACAAGTTGTGCAACTTTAGGGTTTTTACTTTTTTTTGTAAGAAAACATACCTTGCAAGTGCTAAATCCCAGTTTGTGGGCCTCTCTATGAGTTGTTGCTCTTTGGTCGGCATTTGTGATATTACTTTTTTCACATATCGTAGCTTAATATTAACTGAACCAGTTACGTTATATCTTCTAACAATATTTCTCACACTGTACCGCGATAAGTCTAACAAAGTTGCAATTTCTGAGTTTGATTTCCCAGAAAATTGTCAGTAACCGAATTTTCTCACTAATAACCTTTCCTCTAACCACTTTGAAAACCTTAACTACCCAGAACTATTTTAAACGTATTCTGACAGCTGTGATTAATAAAAACAATTGTAATGGCTTTTATTTTTCACAGCCACCTATGTGTTATAGACTTACTTTGCATTGAAATGAAAATAGGTTGATATGCTGTAATTGCAACATGTGTTATTTTTATGCTGCAAATTTGTTTAGGGAGTGATAAAGTTGGTGTTTTCTACTCTATATTATCAAAATATTCATTGTTGATATTTTAAGCCTATAACACCCTGCTACATTTTTATTATTTGTGTTTGATAAGAAAAAAACTAAGATTTCAATAGTTGGGCCAACTGAAGTGGGAAGGGGCTCGTACTTGAAATGGCTCCACATCAAGCCGCGCTTCTCTCTTTCTGCTATTCTTCCTCGAAAATCTAATAACAAGTGCGTTGCCTCACCCAAACTGGTAGTTACGACAAAAATAAATTGATAAATGACCACCGTAATTACAGTAAAACAACAGAGCTGAGAAGACGAAGAAAAATAGCAAACTCGTGCAAATTACATAATCACCTTCTATTGACCTTGAACTTGAATTCTACCTACGCTACGTCGAATTCGTCTTGCTAATGCGTGACGTAAAAGGATTGGCCAATTTTTGCAGGCGAAATATAACAATGAAAGCGCTAGTCCATGAAATTCAATGCTTGTAGTTGGAGACGTAATAGGATGACCGAGCAAAGATCGCAGATCAAATTTAAAGATTCGTCTACTTGACGAAACCGCATGCAAAATCTTCATTCGTCATATCAAACTCGATTTGGTTCTTGGAAATTTGAATGATACTGAAACTCGCCCAGACCGTAGAATTTGGTACGACCGGGAAGGGCAAACTGTCGTATTCTCCAGCGTTTACTTGAGAAAGGAGGATGCAAGGGCGGATTTAGGATTTTGTCTAGGGGGGCGGAAACGATATTTGCGGCTGGTATTTTTCAACCCCATTGGAACTTCTAGAATTTATCCTATTATTGCTCCTTAAATTAAAACATAAAAACTTCATTGCTCTGTTAACTGAAATAAAAAAATAAATAAAACATTCTGAGGAACCCCGAGACATTTCCCAGTCCATTCCAAATAAAACAATGTCTTTGCTGGCGAAAAGGACATGAGACCGAAAAATTCCCATTATCGTATGAAGGCTAGACGGGACAAAGAAGGATTATAGACTATAGACCATCTATATATCGGGTCTTGAGACCGTCTCCAGACTACCTAAAGACAAATTGCGCGAGCTCTACTGGTGCAAATACTGACACAATCAAGCACTTCTACTATATCAGCAGGTGATGAAAATATCAATAGGTATACTCAAATATTGAAATTCAATATAGATATTACAGTTATTCTTCAGACTTTCGTTGTCGAACTTGAATTTACGGAAAAGTTGTTGTTTTATCAGTTTTCGAATCAGTGTTGATCGCATGTAAAAATGTTGGAAATCTTTGGAAAAAACTGTATCTATTGCATCGTAATTATTTTGAAACTGTATTTTTGTACGAAACAAGTACAGAAATACAGGGTTGTACATATTCACGTGTAGAGCAGAAGCTCGGTGATTTAAACGTATTCAATATAGCAACATAAATAGACACATACGGAAAAGATGCAGGACGTGTGGTATTCACTTTGAGCATCGATCGACGCATTTTCTGGACAGGCCAAATGCCTATTGCCAATTTAGGCATTCATCTAATATAGTGCTTCGCTGCAACTCCAACCCCGAACAAAATCAGTCAAGCTTTACACACTTTTCAAATTACTATTGAGCAACAAACAGAACATAAATCTTTTTTCAAGTGCAATCTGTATACCTGAAATATTACTCAGACTTAGATTTATCACAAGTCACCATATTCGTATATACGTATGAATCGTAAGAATTGTGCTGTAAACGTAAGTGATGTCAAAGAGGAACAGCGTTTGGAATACCAAAGGATACCAAAAAAATCGCAATGCTCAGCTCCTATAGCTATAACTTATGGTTAGTATGCCTTTGTCGCAATGATGTTTCAGAAAGTGACACACTGGTGTTAGATTACTAAAGCAAGTTGCCCCTCCCCCCTGAGTCCGCCACTGGGAGGATGAGTCAAAAATACACGGTTTCTGGTACCCTAACAGATTGCAGTAAGTAGGTCATATAGGTATATCATCTGGAAAATATTTTCCGAAAAAAGCTACATTTTGAAACGATAGTTTTTAATATCGGTTTCCACTAAAAAATCTCATTTTCCTTTCCTTCCTTTCTTCCTCACTTTTCCTTCCTTTTTTTGTCCAGAATCAACCTAGATTCGCGAAAATTGCAAGAGGCACAAAAATGTATTTAAAATTGCTCCATCAAATACCAGTCTCCTATATATACATGAAAGACCAGTGGCGTACTGGAAAAATGTCTAATGATTAATAAAATTTGCAATTCATAAAATTTGATCAAATTCAGCCTAGTAGTTTGCGAGGTATTTGATAAAACACAGCTTTTGGGAATATTCTGGATACACAGAATTCTATTTCGAGATACCTTTATATGAAGATTTGTCTTGAAATCAAACAAAAAGGCAATACCTAGAATCGTTTTAATGACTTCGGAAACAATCAGTACATTGGAAAAGGGATGAGTAAAAAAAGTTGAACCTAAACGACACTAAAAAGAGACTATTGATCTTTGCCCTGTTCTCAGTAAATGTGTTTTGGCAGATTGCGATGTTTATATTCTACTCGATCTCCCTAACCACCTGTTCTAATACACACTCGGTATCGGATTAAAAACATCCTTAAAACCTGTATCTTCTACAGCATACAGGGTGTTTTCAAAGTTGAGTCATTTATTTTAACTGCTTGCCGGACTCGTCAAAAGAAGTCCACAAAAAATCACCTTTATAAAAGTTGCATAATAAAGGAAATAGTGAAAGATTGAAAATTTAAAAAAATAAGAATGCTAGTGCACAGATTTTTTTAATATTCTCGACCACTGCCGTGTAAGATCTTATCGTTTATCTAAGTTTTGCAAACTTTTTGTGTTATTGTATGCTTTTCGGTACGAGTCTTTGGTTCGAGCAGTTGTATCAGTCTTTTAATAGTTCGTATCCTTTCATTTGTCTGGTTATTTTGTGCGAAAAAATGGCCCATGTACACGAAAACAATGAAGTAGTGGACATACAGAGAGTGCAGGTTGTATTTACAATAGTTATTAGACTTCGTGACACATGATATTTAAAAGAACAACAAGGAGGATACCTTGGAAGACCTGCTCAAGCAGAAATGCACAAATTGGGAAAGACATTTTAAAAAATGGTCGAAGATAACCCAACAGTTCTAGATCCATATCAGCTCAAGTTTGAAGTTTCTCATATTAAAGTGTAGAAGACAATACGACAAGAACATTATTACCCTTATCGTTATCAACGGGCACACGTGTTACAACCTGAAGATCATCCCAGAAGAGTTGCAGTTTGGCTTTAGAATAGTTCGGTAGAAATGAAGATTTCACGAAGTTAATTTTGTGTATAGACGAGGCCATAATTGCACGAAATGGAGTGTACAATTTTCAATATCGAGTTTTCGAATAGATGGATAGGGCGCAATGGACCCGTTTCTTGGCCTGCTCGCACCCCAGATTTAACGCCTTGCGATTTTTTTTCAGATTTTTTTGTGTGGCGTTATTTAAGAGTTGGTGTATGATGATGGAGCAGTAAATACTCTGGAAGATCTTCAACAGCGCATCGAAAATGCTTTTGATTTAATTCGTGGGCACCAGCATTTTATTTGCGAAGCTTGTGGAGTCGCCGAGCAAGATTATGCTTTAATCGAATTTTGAACAGTTTTTGTAAAAACGGTATCCATTTATCTTGATGATGACTTTTTCTAATTATTTTTAATAATGTAAATAACTGTCTTATTATGTAACTTTTATATAGATAATTTTTGGTTATCAACTTCCTTTGACGAGTTCTGCAATGACTCAACTTTGAAAACACCCTGTATATCTCGAAACAGAGAGTGAATTCGCGCCTTTCAACCTAAATATTTGGGATATTGTACAATTTTTAGAAATATAATAAGTGAATATTTAAAAATATACCTAAAGATTATAGAAGATACTTGTATGTTTACATGACTAGATCCACCTCAATATACATATTTCTAAGAACAAAAGTATATCTAAAACAGTGGAAAAACAAACAAAAAAGAGTTCTGGTTCCAAATCTGGGGTTGGTAACATCTTAGCATGGTTGAAACTAAATCTACGTTGGTAAATAGCTGTCGTATGTTTTGGTACAGAAACCAAGTTCACAAATCTAAAATTAAAACTATGCACATTATGTCTAAAATTAATTTTATCCCTAAGGTGAGGTGGTAGAAATAATCTTGTGAATAGGAACTGCCATATTGCATTCTGCAACATCCTGTCTAAATAGATGGAATGTCAATGACAACCTATTTTTTACATAGAACGTTGAAAACGGCGACCAAGGTGGCAGAAGCGATATATTACAATATACGTGTACTGATTTACCTGCCAAAGAATCGTGAAAATGAATGAAATAGATTAACATAGCTCGTTTTGTGTTGGTATTATAGAAAACCCCTTATCTTCATATTTTTCGTTCCAGGTTTAACCCCTTCGAGATTCTACACCCTCCCAACTCGGAAAAAGAAGACATACGAGTACCCTTCTCTAGACCGTCGGACACTCCACAGAGGATCCCAAGAGCTCCTTCCCCCTAAGAAACCTCCCAGAACATTTGCTGCTGCTCCAAAGTCATCCATCTTTGACATCTTCAAAAAGAACAAGAGTACAGAGCCAAAGAAATCAAACTTGAGACGGAGCGTCAGTGATGTATCGAGTCATAAATCTAAGGATGAACATCGAGTAAATGTGAAACTGCTCGCAAGCGAGGCTGAAAATAAAAAACAACTTTCTCCAATTATTGAGGTGACTCCGAGAGAAGATTATTTTGATCCTGAGATCGAAGGTAACAGGGAAGATGATGAAATTGATGTAAAAGCACCTGCAAGGAAAAAGAAGAAACAAAGTATAACTGAGAAGCTCAAACAATTCATTGATGAGGTAGATGAGGAGCTATATAAAGAGACTGGAGTTAGACCTCTACCAGCGGATGAACCTAAGAAAGCAAAAGATCCACAACCTATCATCATAGATGTAGATAAAGCAGAAAAGATATCAGGGCGAAAAAAGAAATTCAAAGCATCGCTACTAGGAAAGAAATTCAAAGTTAAAAGGAACAAAAAGAACAAAACAAATGAGGCAACCAAGCTCAAGAAAACCCTCCTCGAGAAGCCAGAACCTCCCAAGGAGGCAGAAGAGGAAACCATAGATACGAGGACAGCAGAGTGTCTTCCAACCACTCCTTCTCTAAAGATAAAGAAAGCCATTGAAACGTTGGAACACTCAACCAACCAATCAACCATGATACATAGCAGCCAGAAGCCTGCAGATAAGCTGCCTTTGACCAAAGGTCGAACGGTTGATCCAATGGTCAAGAGGCTGAGCAAAGATGCTAGCTCATCCCCACCACCGAAGCCCAATGTCATGGTGACCCCACATGTTTCTGTGCAACACAACAACAACCAACCGTTTTCCTATACCAGAGGATTGAGCCCAGATAAATATACTGAGAATGTCCAAAGTCCCGGAAGTCCAATCATATACGCACAAGTTGTATGCGGTAACAACACCAACGGTCCAAAGAAGCAAACTATCCACACAGCATACACGAACGGTAAAAAGCATCCTCACTCAGACTCAGACGAGGGTCTTGGTGGTGAGGAACATCGTAGAAGTCACGATTACTACGATGAAGCGGATAAGTTTGAGGAGGAGAGCCCCATTACCCCCAAGTTCAGAAATCCGGCGTTTATCAATGGATACACAAGTTTCGAGAGGAAGGAGTTTGGCCAGAACGGGTACATTGAGAGAGGAAGAGGAGACGGAATGGATGCTAAACGAAGGGAAAGCCTCACCGAACAGATCGAGAGCGATTTTCCTACGAAGCATCCGACGCATAATGGTGAGTAGTCGCATACTTTGATTTCGACGGCAAATTGGGCGACCTTGAATCTCACGTTCAATGTCATGAAGTGACTTTACTGTCATTCCAAGGCCAACGTCAACATAGTTTGACACAAAGGCAAATGTCCTAGGGGATCGATTAGTCACGTGAGGTGTACATGAGTCTACATAAGCTAAATTAGAATAGATGTTTTTAACTAGTCAGAAATAAAAATAATTATCTTTATTAAGATTTACACCAAAAATAGAAATTTTTAAAAATCTCGTCTGAGAATAGAATGAGATTCTACGGACCGCTTTGGCAAATAACGACGAATAAAGAAGAACATAAATATACTAAGTGACATATAAATCCGAACACCCAGTTTAAATGGTTTTATTTTAATAAAATTTTGTATAAGTACTTAATGAAGCATAATAAGTAAATGATAAAAATTTCAAAATGATTGCACTGCTTTAAAGCCCTTTGACCTTTAATAATGTGTGGATGCACCCTTAAGTGCTACGCATTCTCCAACGCGCCTAGGCATGCTTCTGATCAGGTGGTCAATGTCCTCCTGTGGTATCTCATTCCAGGCAACCACCAACTCCTCTCGAAGTGCTTGTAGAGTCTGAGGAGGACGTTGCAAATTGAGCAATCTCCTACCCATCATATCCCACACGTGCTCAATTGGGGATAAGTCGGGAGATCTTGGTGGCCATGGTAAGAATGTGACATCATTATGTTGAAAGAAGTCTATTGTGACTCTTGCAACATGTGGTCGGGCATTATCTTGTTGGAAAGTTGGATCTGCCAGGGTGTCAAGATAGGGTAAAAGATGGGGTTCTAGAACTTCGTGGATATAACGCTTCGCGTTCATGTTACCACTGATGAAGATTAAAGGTGTTCGGATTTATATGTCACTTAGTATAGATACATCCATTTTTGATATCTTTAATCTCAAAATTGTACACATTTGGGCTCGATTTAAAATTATATTTTCAACGATATTTTAAAATAAGCTTCAATCAGTTAAAGACACATATTTTCTATAAGGCCTATAGAAACATCATGCAATAGAAAAAAAATATTTATGGAAAACTTGTAAATGAAAAATTATGCCAGACGTGTGCCACTATATTTTATTAAGCAATGATTTCATTCTATAAATGAGAGCTAAAGGCGAAACAGAACATACTTCAAAATGCAAATCAGGATCAGTGACGTCGTTCATGTTTTCAACAAGATATTTGAGGTTATAACCAACTGTTATTACTGCGGCTGCGATAGATGTCTACGGCTACGAGTTTCTTAATAAGTGAAGCACCAATGGCATTAGAAAGAACATGAATTTTTCTCTACTTTTTTCCACTACTAGAGTACGGGTTTTTAAACCAGACTGTCAGCTTAATGAATTTGATTTTTGTAAAAAATATTCTCTCCATTTAATTTTAATTTTTGCTGAGCTACGGAAACGGGAGGACAGCTGCCCCCGCCTCCCCCCCACCCCCCGGGTACGCCCTTAAACAGAACCAAGTAAGTATATTATTATTTATAGTATATTCTCTGTCGTTACAGGTAGAAGCGACCTAAGTGCCAGAAGGGACCTACTGGAGTCCAGAATAGCTCGTAGAGTGAACGACAGCGTAATTCGTACCTCGCCAGTCGCAAACACCGTCTATATCACAGAGACTACCTCAAAGTATTACAGGGAGAGATCTACTAGTCCAGTTGGGTACTCTAAAAAGTATTCGCCAGATCCAAAACCTGATAGGTACACAAAACCTACAACGACTGATACGCGAAGCAAGAAGTATCATGGTGAAACCTCCCATAGGTATGAATACGACAATAATCGAACAAAAACGAATGGATATACTTACAATGGGTTTGATAGTGAACCGAAAAGTTTCGATTCACAAATATCCGACTACAGGTCCTCTCCGGAAAACAGACATTTCGATGCTAGTCCCAGGTACAACCCAAAAATCGAGAAAACCCTATATAAAGACAGAACGATGTACAAGTCGACGCCAGAGATTCATTTAAGGTCGTACCAAGACCAAAATCTCAGCGACTCCTACCACGACTCTTTGAGGAGAGAAAAAATTGAAAACAGAATCACCAGCTCCTCAAAGTACAGATCGGAGAGGTTCTTGGATGAAAGTGAAAGGAAGGAAAAGTTTGTAGATTCTGGGATCGAGAACGATTTCAGGAGGGACTCGGGAGATAATTTCCGGGTAACGAGACCTCCAAGGAGGAAGGAACAGTACTGCAATGAGAGTGAGGATGAGGGTTTCGCTAGTTCTTTGCTGATTGCTAGCGAGAAACAGCACACGGAGGAAAATGTGAGTCAGGTATGGAATAAGTTATGTTTAAGATCAAGTAGTAGTAGAGTAGTTGGTAGAATAAAAAGTAGTACTGCTTTGACATAAAGTAAATGGCATTTCAATTTATGCCTATCATATCCAGTATGGCCTCAGCTCTGGTGAAATACTTATTAGTCTTTGATAGCCATTAGGATTGCACTCATTTGTAGATAAATTGAACTTATAATCTGTATTCCTAGAAAAAACGAAGGGACTACGACTCGGACCGGACTTACTCCCGTGAGGATGACCCATACAGGCACCTGGAGGCCATGGAGTACAAAACGAAGTTCCGGTCCAACGAATACATTCCGAGAGAGCGAAGTATCGACGACGGATCGCACTACGATCCGAGAATAGACAAGGATGAGGATAGGTCCACGCTGAAGAGGGTGGACGCCAAGCCACCCAAGCCTGAGAAGAAGAGCGGACTTGAAAAGGCGAGTTCCTTTCTCGACTGCTTCACTAGAAGTATAAACTGTAGCATGGTTTCTGGTCGCTCCCAGTCACTTTATAATGATTTTACACATGTTTTTATTAACGAAATAGAATTTACAACAAAACTGGGGCGTACGCTGGGCTGACATTTCTCTGTGTTCTGCGGTGTAAATGTCAGCTGTCCGTGCTGCCCCCAGTACGTCACCGGTAGGCTTTGGAACTAAACGACGTTGCCAGATTGTAACAAAACCGATTTTCATACAAAAAGCTACACTATCATCAACATATTAGTATCCAGAGTAACAACCTTTTATTTCCCCCAAGTTGCATAAGATGTAATTATAGGAGTAAGCTTTTATTGAATATTCTACATCATGCATTCGTTATTCTAGGTCAAATCTTTGTTTACACGAAAGAAAGACAAGCAGCTACCGGGGCTGGTTAGTCAAGACAGCCTCAGGGCGCGGTATGTCGAGTACAAGGGCCGAGAATCGGTAGAGCCGAAATACAAGAAAAAAGAAGTCAACGACGTACACCTGGTGAGTCATTTGAGAATTATTTCTTGATGTTTGCACATTGCTTTCAAGTTCTGTCGCTTAGTAACTGAAGAAAATGTAGGTATTTGAATCTTGGCCGGCATAAGGTGGACGCTCATTCAGAGGTAGGGAAGCGAGGAGAATTAGAGAGAAGAGAAGCAAAACTCTTCCGCTGGACTCCCTTACATACAACGAATTCAAATAGATTTGAAAGAGCCAAACGTATATAATTACTTTGCATGGTTTGTCGCCAAAATTGAGTAGTTTTAGTGCATACTTTTGACTCATCTGACTATCACCGCCTACCAAAGCGACAGTGTTGTATTAACATAATAATGGCACTTACCGGTGGAAACATCTACCTTCATTAGGAAACAAAGGACTATGATAATTTCAAGGTCTATCTAGGAAATTCTGTTTTTATGGAATAACTGAGGTTTCGCAATGTCAATGTATGACATATTATACATTTTTGGAAACAGAATTAAAAACTTTATTTATCTGTGCAAAATCCAATATGACGTCCATGAGAAAAAATGAAGTTCATGCTGGAATACAAGTCATACTGAAATTCTAATTATGCCATCTTCTAGAGGAGCAAAAGTGGGAATGTTAATATGCAATTTATTTTGAAATCCCATAACAAATAAAGTCAAAAAAGCTAAAACTATTTTGGGAAAATTCATTTTTTCCATCTCTGACCTTAAATTTCGAACAGGAAAAGCAGATCGAAGACTGCTTACTGCAATCACTGCTCCCTCAGGTGTCAAGTTTTGGGTAGTGTGTTTCTTATTTCGCCAGTTCCCCTGGTATATAAGTTCCATATCCCTCACATTTGATGGAAGATTAACCTGTATGGTAGGTAATGTTACAATCTAAGACAGGACGTGTAAAAACGTATTACATCACGCTGCCGCTATAAGCTGCGCGGGTTCGGATACCGTCCCAAGAAATGTTTTCCTTTGGCTATGGATGTTGTAAATATATCCGTAGGTGGTAGAATATCTCGAACGTGGAGGTACCACCCGGCGGGGCTAGAATATGCACAGGTGTTCTCTCGCTCGAATTCGTGTGACGTCTTGCCTTTAGTCTATAACCCCCTATAGTCCCACGGTTCCCCCGGGTGTTAAAGCATTAGGCCTTCGGGGTGGTACCTATAAGTATAAACATGCAAAAATTTAACTAGTACGTTCAACTTGATATTTGAGTAACATTCAGGGCCGAAAACCACGCTTATAGACCCCGATCCATTTAGCTTCGAACTTTGGAGGGTAAGCTTTACCACCTCTCTTCATAGGAACAAGTTGATACTCCGTCGAAATAACAACTGCATTATATCCTTGCTTCGTCTAAAATTATTACCTTGGACCAATTTCCCATAAAATCGATCGAAATATCTACCCGCAACAAACACCTGATCCGGCAAACAATAAGTTATTAGCACTAAACAAATTCAATGAATAATTATGCAGGAATTCATCATGCCACCCTCGTAAATGCGTACCTGTAACACGATGCAAATGAGAGTGAATAGGACGGCAAGAACTAATACAAGGACACATACTCTTGCTCAACCCACTCGCCATATGGCTAAAGACTGAGCAACAGGTTAGAATAGTCTTCGCCAATGGCGTACTTCATAGATTACTTGGTATCAATCAGTTTTTTCCAACAAGGAAATTCTGACTGTCAGAGACGGCGAAATACTGTCATCCATACAAATCAACAAGGTAGCATCTGGAGTGTTGCTATTAGAATCTCTTTTGGCTATACAAAATGCCGTGGGGGAGGGGCGAAGTCTAGGATGTCACATATATTATCATCACAGATCTGCTTTAAGTTTCACACTTTGTCAATAGCTAATCAGCAACTGGGGAAGTCCTATTTCAGTCCTGCGTCTTGAGTTAACAATATACCAACCTGTGAAATGTTATACTTGAGGATCTCTAAGAATTCATAGCCTACAGCTCATCATCAGGGTACAAGACATCATGTTTATTTGGAATAGCACACTCAAAATAACCATGAATATCATGCAGAAATCAGAAATGTTTTTAGCAAAATCTGGCTAAGTTGTGCTAGATGCATAGGTGCGTATCACTTTGATAGATACCATATTCCCTAGAAATTCTACATCGATGAAACGACGTTGCCTAGCCACGCGCTAGATAGACTAATCAAATTAAAAGCAAATACCACTGGTTTGCGCAATAATTGTCTGGTTTTATCGCTGGAAGTTGTCCAAGGGGGTATGCAAAACATGGACGCATAAAATGGGTACACAAATTTTTGTAGGAAAACTTTTTAATGGACAACAAAAATGAGAAAACATGTTTTCTGGGATTCAATCCTAACGGAAAAACTCTTCATTAAGATTTTTAGGTATTTATGAGATCTACAAAATGAGACCATACGTAAAAAGATTCGTCTAATAGCAAAAAAGTTATAGCCGAAAACCGAAGCAAACTGTAGGTTTTAACACTTGGTAATGCGACGATGGTTTCTCGCAGATATTTGAAACTCTTCAAATTTGTAGGATAGGTACTTCTAAATAACCACAACAAACTTGGAGTAGATTGGTCGAGTAGGTTTTGAGAATTTCTAATTATTTATACCAAAACACCTGTTTTCCGGCCATCACAACTAGTTTATTGTGCAATATACAGGGTTAGTTCAAGACGCATTTTATAGCAAAATACGCTAGTTTACCTTGCCGATATGAATCGCAAACCACTCCGGAAGGTAAATGTTATTTTTATGCAAAAAAGGATAGGTTACGTTTTTTCTTTTAAACAAATTCAAACATTTCGTATTTGTGAGTAATTCGCAACAAAAGATGATATACACATTCGCTTTGTTTTAAAACGTGTATAGTAACGAATGTTTTTTGCGCATTTGGTCAATTACTCACAAATACGAAATGTTTGAATTTGTTTAGAACAGAACAACGTAACCTTTGTTTTTCGCATAAAAATAACATTTATCTTTCGGAATGGTTTGTGATTCATATCGGCAAGGCAACCACGAGTATTTTGCTATTAAATGCTCTTTGAACGAACCCTGTACATTGCTCAATAAACTAGTAGTGATGGCCGAAAAACAGGTGTTTTGGGACAAACAATTAGAAATTCTCACTTGATCAACAGAATCCAAGTAGTTGCGTAGAATTATCATCTCATTACCAACAAGTGCCAAAACCTGCATTTTGCCTCGTTTTTCGGCCATAATATGATTAGACTAAAACTGATTTGTTTAACCATAAATGGCCGTTCATTGTTAGAAAAAACCGGATAATAGTACTATTTCTTATGGTAATATCGTCCTCCAAAAAACAATCAACCCGCTTCATACCCATTTGGGTGATAAAAGACTTTATTTCTTTACAGCTTTACTGCTACAGCTACGTATTCCTAAAATAGGTTTTGCATATGGAAATAAAACAACGCGGTAGGTAGTTTTAAATGACTTTATTGTTTTTCGAAGTATTCTCCACGAAGATAAATACACATCTGCATGCGCACCAAACAATTTTCGAAGCACTTATTCCACTCGTTTGCTGGCAGATCCAAAACGGCATTTTTGAATGCATCAACTGCTTCTTCTGGTGACTGGAACCTTTGAACACGCAGTCTGTTTTTAATTTTCGGGAAACTAAAGAAATCGTTAGGACTTAGATCGGGACTATGTGGAGGATGTGTCCAATAATTCAACGTTTTCTTCCGTTAAATACTGCCTTGTTTTTTGGGCTGTGTGCGAGCTTGCATTGTCTTCGTGGAGGATGATTCTTCTTTCGGGGTTAATATTTCGAATCTCGGTGATGACACAAATGTCGAGACCACCTGGAAACACTTCGAGAACGGATGACTTTTGTTGGCTTTTCTTCACCTTGGAACACCCAAACAGCCGACTGTCGTTTATTTTCTGGTTCATAACAGTAAATCCACGATTCATCACCACTAACAATGCTGTACACATTTTTTGAGTTTCCGGAATTGAAACGGTCAAGCGTTTTTTGACACCAATTAACCCCGTCTGCTTTCTGCTCTTCAGTCAACAGGTGGGGTATCCAACGAAAAACTAATTTTCCTACTCCAAATTCTTCATGTAAAATTTTTCTAATGACTTGGTGACACTAAAAAATTCACTGTAGTGAGAACACTGCACGTATTGTTGTGAAACTTTGAATTTAAGTTTACTATAGAGTGACGTTAAGATTCAGTACTGACGTTCGATCCGCGCGGCCTACTATGTTTCTATATGCAAAACTTAA